GTTGGGAATAAGAACTCTTACAGGACTAAAGTTGCCTTATTATGCACAACAGCATCTCATGGGTCAATGATGTATCCTGGAGATGAAGTCCCAGGGGGAATCGTGGCTGATGAGGAGTAATAAGGGGCTGTGCACAGCTCTCCTGCCAGGAACCACCATCTTGGCTGTCTGGGGTTTGGTTGTGTCCAGCTCATGGACAGACTCTTGTTTCCTTCCTGCCGCCTTGATTGGGGAAAGTGTTCGCGTCTCCATGTGGAAGCTCCCATGGATATGTTTGCATTTCCACTTAAAGACCTGCCCTATTGAGACCCCTCCAGGTAAGTCTGAAAGTCCAGCAGGTGCTGCAGATAAGACTCAGAAGACAGCAGCCAAGAGCATTCACCTGAGGCCAACTGAGAGACATATTCTCCTGGACCTGGGCCCAGAGGATGCAGGATGCAGTGAGACCTGCTTTCCTGAGTCATGATCTCAATGAAGTACTTGTGCCAGAGGATGAAAAAGGACATGTCCACAGAACTCAGCAAGGCTGGGTCACTGGGTACAAGGAATTGAATATAACCAGAGCCTACAAGAGCAGGGAACAGGACAGGTCAAACAGCAGGGGGTTTTCCAAGGATTTGTACAATGAAGGGCTAGAGAAACAGGGTGTTAACTGTGAGGGATTGTCCCTGGACATGAGGGCAGGTCATTTTTACCTGTGAGATGGGCCTAAGTGAATATGCTCTGATGTTAATAAGAACAATCCAGACCAAGACAAACCCTAGCTGCAAAACCAGTTCCTGTATCACATACACACAACCAAAATATCTGATGGGCAAAACCGGGTGCACTTATAAACTTCACCATACATTTCTCAGAGGTGTTCAAAAAGTTTATGGAAACATCAATTTTACAGAAAAAGAGACTGGATTTTTAAAAAATGTGCTCTTAATTCTTTGTGAAAACTTGAATCCTTTTGCATTTTCTTAGATCTGTTGCTGAAGATATTTATGGTTTGGCGAGACACTGCCTGAACTGCAGTTTTCTGGGTATGTATATTTCTCATTGGTGCTATATTTCTGCTACTTTTTGGTGCTTCTGATCTAGTGATGATATCTATTTTTAAAAGTTATATCACTTACACCTTCATTCTGAAAGCACCTGTTATCATTTGACTGAATATCATGTTTATATTTCATAAGCATGTTTGAATCCTACTATCCATTTATGATGTGAAATTACACTGTTGGACATTATTTCCTTTCACTATTGTATCTATTTTAAAATATCACATGGTAGGAGAGTAGGATTGAGCATGGGAGCAATGGTAACACGTCGCTGTGCTCCTAAAACTGTGTATATGAAATACATTAGATTGCATTTCTTTATATAAAAAAACTCAAAGTTGTTAAAAAAAAAACTCTAAAATTTTAAAAATTGATTAAAACTGTCCCCACTAGAAGGAAAAAAAAAACTTGAAAAACGCACCTTTACTGCTGTGCATAACACCCATCCCTCTCATAGTGTTTTAAAAAGGCTCTCTATGGCCAATGCACATAATTATGTACTTTCTATACAAATACAATGAAAACAGTCCTTTAAACAACATGAGTTCTTGTCAAAGTCAGGAGAGTTTACTCACCGAAAGATCTTTTTTTTTTTAAAAAAAAAAAAGATTTATTTTTTATTTTTATTGGAAAGGCGGATATACAGAGAGGAGAGACAGAGAGGAAGATCTTCCGTCCGATGATTCACTCCCCAAGTGAGCGCAACGGCCGATGCTATGCCTATCCGAAGCCAGGAGCCTCTTCCGGGTCTCCCACGTGGGTGCAGGGTCCCAAAGCTTTGGGCCGTCCTCGACTGCTTTCCCAGGCCACAAGCAGGGAGCTGGAAGGGAAGCAGGGCTGCCGGGATTAGAACCGGCGCCCATATGGGATCCCGAGCGTGCAAGGCGAGGACCTTAACCACTGCGCCATTGCGCCGGGCCCGAAATATCTTATTTGTGTCTTTCTACATGCACACCTACATTAATTTTCACTGTAAGGTCTATAGTTGTATATTTTGAACCATGTTTTTCATTAATCTGTGAAAATAAGAAAGAGTGACAGACAAGGAGAGAGTGAGTGCCTCCATCTAGTCTAATAGCGAGGGCTGGTCTGGCTGAAGCCAGGAGCCAGGAACTGCATTTGTATCTCCCGTGCGGAGGACAGGAATCTAAGCACTGTTGTCAGCTTCTGCTGCCTTTCCTGGTGCATCCCCAGAGCTGCATCTTCAGCAGAGTAGCTGGGACTCAAACTGCAGCTCTGATAAGGGATGCCAGCTTTGTCAGAGGTGCTTAGCTTGTCATAGACACAACAATATGTGAGGGGCGGAGTCACTCTGTTTCTCCAGTTAGAGACAACCGTATTAGACCTTATGAAATATTTCAAACTTTATCTAAATTGTAACACTATTTTGCTATGAAATCAATTTTGTCTTGAATATTTTACCTTACTCTCATCACTTTATGTTTGTTGTCATGAACCCCACCTGATGTGAGATAATAATACTTTTCAAATAAATGAAACCTGCAAGGAATTTAAAATAAATATCATATTATCTAAAAGACAATTATTGATAAAGACAATCAATGACGACATTGAATCTGCTTTATGCCAGAATATTCCATGTCATGTATGTTGTAATCAGATAGTCATTAATTGATTTATGAATACAATTTTGTGTCTAACTGTTGCTATGCAGTTCATGTTGGAGACTTTCTTTTCTTTAAGACATTTTTGCCGAATCTTAATGATTTGATTTTTTCTCCGGTTCTTGCCACTTCCTTACTCAAATTTGTTTCTGTGTTATGCACCTCTATTCACTGGACCATGTCAGGATTGAAAGAGAAATGGAACAGGTAAGCCAGCTGCTCATTTAGTACTTGTACTAGCAAAGGGAAAACACCACATTATTAAAGAAATGCCTGTGACATAATGTCTTGAGGGATACATCCAAAGGAGATTGTTATTTCATGTAAAATGAGTAGTTACTTTTATAATGAATGTGTGCAGGAGAGATTGTGTGTGTTAAGTAAAGACCAGAAGAAGAATCAGAGCATGCTCAATGGATTAGTGAGACAAGAGACAAAACCTCAAAATAACAAAATAACAAAATTTGACATCCTGAAAAGGACAATGAAGGTCTTCCCTCTGCAGCCCTCAGACCTCATAGAGACCATCTTCTCCAATAGTATGCAATTGACATGGGAATATAATTCTGGTTTACCCAACAAGTTCCAAGTCAAATGTTGCTGTTCTTTTTGTGCAGACTTTGGAGAATTTCTGGTTTAATCTCTTTGCTCATTTTTTCTTATTGTAGTGTTCATTTGGAATGTTTCTCATTGCTCCAAAGATATCACCACTTTGGTCTATTGGATCCATTCTTATTTAACTTCTGCTGTTTTTTGTGTTTTTTTTGTTGTTGTTGTTTGTTTATTTGTTTTTCTGGGCATCAAGGAGCCATTATTGGAATAGGCACATTCTCAGGACCAGTGCAAAGTACAATGATCACTCGATAGTCCCTGCTCTTGTTAAATCCTTCCTGGAGATATTTCTATTTGTTGGGCACTTCAAAAAATTCTTCCAGCCCAGACAGGTAATGGACATATGGCAATGTATCCAGTGGGAAAGTCACAAGCTATAGTTATGGGTTAGTGTGACAGTGACAGCCTCGCAGAGCTCTCTCCTATGATGTAATTGGAATGGATGGAGCGTAGTGAAGGAGTAAGAGACAGCGTGAATTTCCACTAACTTTCTTACACTTCCACATGCCCAGTGTGTACTTGCATATTATTGTGTGTGCATGTACATCTGTGAAGGTGGTTAGCAGTGACAGTAACAGCAAAATGACACAAGGCTCATCACACAGTCTCCAGCTTGCACTGGTTCACCATCATGATTATTGACTTTCTCATGCTGAAAATCCCAAACTGTGCTTTGGATACTGACAGTTTCACAACCTTGTGATTTCTCTCATTTGTGGGCAGTTGGCAGTAAGCCATGAATCCCATGGCGGTGTGCAATCCCCAACTACCAATACAAGTTGCTAAGGCTGTGTTAAGAAGCTCATCTCTTACCACTATATTTTTGACTTCACAATACGTTTCGGTTAAGATGGGTATATTGTAAGTCAAGAGCACCTGTGTCCTCAAATATCACACATAATACAGTAGCCAAAACACACAAGGGCAGGTGGAAATAGAGCAGCACACTTTTCACTTCAAGGAAGGTCTTTGCAGCTAACCAGAGAAAGACAAATGTAGTGACATGGGACAGGACTCCCTCTACCTTGAAGTGTCAGGGGGATGAGCCTATTGCCTGCCTTAATATTCTCTGACTCATCTCCCAGGTTTCCCTGTTGTTCATTCCTGTTGTCATCATTCTCCATGGTGGTTTTGGTCATCTGAAACGAGCACTCCACAGGGACACTGTATGGCCTTGTGTCCCTTGCCAAACACATCATTTCCCAGATGATGTTGTGCACCTACTATATGTTCATTCAGATCTTGATCTTTGTCCAAATGCCACATAATTTGCTGGGCTTTTATGCACCTGAGATATGAGTAGTACAACCCATCTATCCCCCCTGTGTTTTTAAAGCTTGTTGCCTTCCTTGCCAGCATGCAAACATCAGCATCCTATGATGTTTTGCATGATTTGTCTTTGCTTACATTAGGCTTCAAATCTTTACTGTTAGGGAGGTTTGTTTCTCAGAGCTGCTCACACACTGTTGAAACAGTGCCTGGAACATGCTGAGTGCTCAACACTCATTCTCAAGTGCATGAAGGAAACTCTTTGCAGCTTCAGGGTGCAATCCTTCTGAGGAAGTAAGGCATATTGCAGATGAATTCTTTACACTGAGAGTCGGGAAATTCTGGAGGGACCCAGACTGATATGAAAAACACAAATTATGATGTTTCTGCAAGGTAATTAGCACTCATTTCTGTCCTGTTTTCTATCCTTTGGTAGTCACATTGGCCAATGGAACCAAGGAACTATACATGGCTTGTGGAATTCCTTCTCCTAGGATTCTCAGAGGACCCAGCACTGCAGCTTATTATATTTGGGCTGTTCCTCTGCATGTATGTGATTTGTGTCATTGGGAACCTGCTCATCATCCTGGCCATCTTGTCAGCCACCCACCTGCACACACCCATGTACTTCTTCCTCTCCAACCTGTCCTTCTCTGACATCTGCTTCACCACCACCACCATCCCCAAGATGCTGGTGAACATCCAGGTTCAGAGCAGATCCATCAGCTATGCAGGCTGCATCACACAGATGTTCTTCTTTATGGTATTTGGAGGTCTGGATAATTTCCTTCTGACAGTGATGGCCTATGACCGATTTGTGGCCATTTGTCACCCCCTGCACTACACGGTCATCATGAATCCCCGGCTCTGTGTGCAGCTCGTTTTATTGTGCTTGACCATCAGTGTTTTGCATGCCTTGTTACACAGCCTGTTGGTGCTGAGGCTGAGCTTCAGCACATACGTGGAAATCCCTCACTTTTTTTGTGAGTTGAATCAGGTGATCCACAGAGGCAATTCTGACACCTTTCTCAATGATCTCATGATAGATTTTGCAGCAGTCCTGCTGTTCTGCGGTCCCCTGGCTGGGATCCTGTACTCTTACTCCAAGATCATCTCCTCCATCCGAGCCATCTCGTCAGCTCAGGGCAAGTATAAAGCCTTTTCCACCTGTGCCTCTCATCTCTTGACTATCTCCCTATTTTATGGCACAATCATAGGTGTGTACCTCAGTGCCAGTGCTGCCCCAAGTTCAGCCTCAACTGCAGCAGCCTCAGTGATGTACACCGTGGTGACCCCCATGCTGAACCCCTTCATCTACAGTCTGAGGAATAATGATATCCAGAGGGCTGTGAAAATACCTTTAAGGCATATTGTCCAAGGGCGTTGTGCAAGTCATTCCCACAAATCAGGTCTATAAACCTCAGAGCTTACAAAAGTGCAAGTGAAATACTCCCCTGCCTTAACCCTCTTGTTTCCCGTTGCTTCATTTTATTTCCACAACTGTATATTTGCTGCTTCTTTTCTGAGGTATTCAGTTCTCTTGCATTTTCACACTTCTCTTCCTTGGTCATTTTCAACTTATGCAAAATCATTCTGAATTGACATCAAATCACCTCAACTTCCTTTCTGTGTCATAAGATGATATGTTGTATTTTTCCTACAGTAATAAACTACATTCAACACTTATGATATTTTTGGTAGTCTATATAGCATGAGGGTAGTTCTATACATTCCTGGAATAATGCAGTTGGAGATACATTCAGGTATCCACGGCCTGTGATGTGGCACAAAAAGTTTTAGCTTGAGCCCGACACAAAGGCTGAATCTTACCTTGCAAGCACCAGGGTCCCATATGGGTTCCAGTTTGTGTCCCAGCTGTTCCACTTCCAATCCATCTCTCTGGTTATAGCCTTGGAAAGCAGCAGAGGTTGGCCCAGATCCTTGAGACCCTGCAACCATGTAAGAGACTCAGAAGAATCCCCTGGCTCCTGGGTTTGGATTGGCTCAGCTCTGGCCATTGTGATCATTTGGGGAGTCAACCAGAGTATGGAAGATTTATCACTGCATTGCTTCTTCTCTTTGTAAATCTGACTTGACTTCCCAATAAAACTAAGTAAACTTTTTTTTTTATTTAAAAAGAAAAGGTTAATTCCTTGCTGGATGATTCCAGATTAGTGTTCAGAGTTCTGCTTCGAGTCTCAATTGTTCTCCTTCTCATTTGGTTCTCTACTAACACACATGGGAAAGCTCCTGCCCCAGACATGGGAGTCCTGGATGCCATGTCAGGTCTCTAGTTTCATCTTGGACAAGGCACAGTGTGCAGCCATTGAGTAATAAATCAACCAATGGAAATATTCTATATCTCTCTTCATGGAGTAAAAATAAACTTATTTCTTATTTCCCTCTTAACTCTCCTTTGTGTTACCTTCTGAGCACACTCACACGTATTACAGCAGACCATGACACATCATTCTATTAGATCACAGTCATATGGAGCTCCGTTTCTCCAGTGTCTCCTTTGTAACCAGGCTCCGTGTTGTCAGGCATTTTTTTTGCTGACTGAATGTGCATGTGGAGTGTTATGTGTAACAGAAGTTAGATTTTCCCCAATATACTTCCTATGGCTTCAGAGTTTGGATTCCCCAAAACAAAACATTTTTCATCATCCATGGATTTACTGGAGAATGTTAAGTCTGCTCATTCGAATGGCTGAGGGCCAGCGTGATAAGAAGCTCTTGTAAACTGGGTCACTCGTTTGTGACTGCAGGTGCTGAACCTTGGCCATGAACTGATGTTGGGAGCCGGGATCTGACTCTGGGTCTCTCACATGAGTGGCATGAAGCCTATGACCCCTCCCTTGGTGCCTTCCAGGGTGTGTATTAGCAGAATTCTGGGATTAGGTGTGGGAGTGGATCACGTAGTCCAACCCAGGTCCTTTGAATTTTGACAGAAGCATGATCTGAAGAGTTATGTCACATATATTTGAAAGTGAAAGTACTTATGCAAAGGGAAGGAGAGAGAGAGAAAAAGAGACAGAGACCTTCCCTGTATCCTCTGGTTCATTCCTCCAATAGGTTACAGTGGTGGGAAATGAGCCAATCTCAAGCCAGAAGCCAGGAGCTTCATCCAAGTCTCTCTCATGGACGCAATCACCTGTGCCCTGAGCATTCACCCTGTGCCTCCCAGAGTACAGACAGCAGAAACGATGAATTGGAAGTGGAGGGTAAACATGAACCCAAGCATTCCAGTGTGGTATGAAGGCAAGCCAAGGGGTGTCTTCCTCACTGTGACACAGCACCTGCCTCAGTGGGGGCACTTAACTAACGTGAACACCTTGCCAGTTGCCTGCAGAGGAAATGTGGTTTTGGCAGCATCTATCTACTCACGGAATTACAGACACTTGGGATGTGTCAGTGGGAAGAATGCTTTGGAAATGAACTTTATATTATTCCAGGTCATCACTTTTCTGTTTTGATTTAAGCTTCTAGTGTATCCTATACATACGATTCATCCCATCATCATAAACAATAAACAGAAATCTCTCTTTTTAAAAATTTTCCATAAGCATTTCAACATAGGTGAGACCATGGCACGTTGTCTAATGCATCCGAGCATTTTACAAGAGCCAGGGTAAGGACAGGATCAGCTGGGCTGCAGCAACTGTCGGTTTACAAGAGAGCCAGGTCTGGGGCTGAACTAGGCTGGACTAGGCTGGACTAGGCTGGGCTAGGCTGGGTTAGGATGGAGCGCTGCTGGGTAAGCCAGAATGTGTGCAGGAAAATTGAGCTAGCTTCAGTAGCTATAAGTGAGTATCAGGATAGGGACAGGCATGCTACTACTGGGTAGCACCACTGCTAGGAAACACATCATCAATTTCTGGGAGAGAGCCTGGTAGGGGAACTTGGGGATTGCACCTATTGGGCTGCATTTCCTATGATGAGTGTGATAGCTGTGCCTGGGAGCAGCTTAGGCAATATTGGATTGCAACAAAATTGGCATACAGATGAGCTAGGATTGGGGGCAGCCTGACAGGGTCAGTCCACAGCACACACTACCACAATTGATAGCCAGGGGAGGTGGAGTCCTGGCTAGTTCAACCATAGCACAAACTAATTCCTATGAGTGATGGGGCTTGGAGTGGGCCAGGCAAGATTAGGCTGCTGCAGTCACTGGTAAGAACTATGACTGGGGGCAGTCTGGATGGGCAAATCTGTAGCACCTGTTGGTGACTTTCAAGACTGCAGGTGTGGCATCTCAGACTGGGCTGAAGCACCTGATGACACATGGAAGACCTGGGACTGGGAACAGGCCTGATAGGGTAATGTTGGTGACTCCCTTGCTAGTTGCTGCTTCCACTGGTAAGTGTGATAGCTGGGATTGGGGGTGGGTCAGTCCAGCGTTGGGATAGGCTGGGTTGGCTACCACACTTATTGGCAAATACAAGAGCCTGAATGGGTGCAGGCCAGCTGAGCTAGGCCACAACCCATGTGACAAATGCCAGGACTAGATGTGACTCATGCCAGGAAGAATTTCAGCAGCCCCTGGCAGGTACAAAATCTGGTGCTGGGATGCTATCTGGCAGAGGAACTGTGGGCACTTCCTTGCCAGGCTGTACCTATTACTGGGTCACAGAAACCATCAGTTCACGTGAGAATTGGGTCTAGGCAACAATATGTCCATTGACTGGTGTAGGCGATAGACTGAATCTGACCCTGCCCTGGCCAGTGCACACATGAGTCAAGTCTGAGGTCACCCTAGGTGAGTTTTTTGGGGGGACCCTCCAAGTTGATCATGGGACTCTAACCCTGGAGTGCAGGGGTTGGGAGTGTGTCTCCTCTGTTGCTGATGCCTGAGTAATGGACATCATGGGGGACATGAAAGCCAGCTCCTCTGGCTCAGTGGGAGATATTGAGCATGTCATGAAAGAATGGATCTTGCAAGTGGCAGTGTCCTGGGGCCTATTCCAGACTCCCTGCACCCAGACCAGTCGACCTGAATGCTGACAGGTGCTATAGTATTGCACAATCTGGTCCACACATAACCCTGCTTCTCACATTCACTACTGGGAGCTACAGCCTAACAAGGGAGTGTGAAGATCTTGCCTACTAGGTATGCTCTGAGCTGCAGGACTCATGTGTTTTTGCAGCAGTTGAACAGAACCCTACCTGGCATACCCACAATCTCAGCTCTTGCAAGTGGATATTGCAGCCCAGCCCAGCTGAGCACAGCCCACATTCTGTCCAGGCTCTCCTGTATGTCATGATGTGCTCAGCCCTGGCCCTGCCTGTCCTGCCCTCAGGCTGTCCAACACAAATATTGATGCATGCTGCAGACTTGCCTGGGCTAACCTGCCTCCAACTGTAGCATCTGTGCTCCCTATGGGGAAATGCAGACTTGCAGGGCATTCCCCAAGTTCTACCACCAGGCCTTTTCACAGCCCAAGTTCTCACACATGCCAGCAGGACAGCGACCCTTGCTTGGCAGTATGTCTTCAGCCCAGGACTTTGCATGTGCTGGCCCCACTTGTTCTTTCTACAATCACAGCTCCCATTGAGTGTCAGGTTGGTTTATTGTGGTTTTTTTCAAGATTTATTTTATTTTTATTGGAAAGTCAGATATACAGAAAGGAGGAGAGACAGAGAGGAAGACTGTCCATTGAGGAGCTGCAGTGATACTAAGGGGGAAGCCATGTTCCAGTAGCCTCCACTTGTTCTCCCATACAGGTGCAATGTCCCAAGGCCTTGGGCCATCCTTGACTACTCATCCTCTAGGACCACAAGAAGGGAACTGGAAGGGAACTGGGGCTTCTAGGACTAGAACTGGTGCCCATATGGGATCCTGCAATGTATTAGGAGAGGACATTAGCTGCTAGGCTACAGACCAGGACCTTAGCTGGGTTTTGTCAGTTGAATTTTGTTGTCCATCCTGCCTTGGCCTGTCACCATCCCCAGCTCTCCATGGAAACCAGTATGGACTATAGTCCCACGGAAGCAAACACACATCTCTATTAGAGAATCTACCCCCAAATTCAGTTCTTTTGCTTTGTGGTGGGTGCTGTGGCCAATTCTCACATGGCCCATCCCTGCTCCAGCTACATGTACTCTGTGTTCCCTGTGTAACCCTACCAGCTTACCTGTCTTCTTGCTGGTTCAGCGACCCAGGCTGTGGAAGACCCCAGAAGTCATTCTTTTCAGGTCAAACATGCCCTCAATCATTCCTGCTCCAGTATATACCCAGGTCTCCTTCTGCATGCTGATGCCTGGAGCCATGGTGGCATGTCCCAGCCTTGAGGTCCCCAGCTTCTCCAAGTATTGCTTAAAAAAGCAAGCAAAAAAAATAAAAAGAAAGAAAGTGAGAGAAAGAAAGAGAGAGAAGGAAAGAAAGAGAGAAAGAAAGAAAAAAAGAAAGGAAAGAAAG